AAAAAAAAAGATGTAGATATTTTTTTTAATCTTCAATTCTCTAAAACCATTGCAACTTTAATGCAAAATTAGAACCTTCTTTCTCACTCTGACCATCCTCTCACCATATTTCCTCTATCTATATCTATATTCTCAAAAGCACTTCCCCGAAATCCCTAACCGTATGGATCAATTTTCAATCATCAAAACGTCTACAAATAAATAACATCAAAATTTACACAGTGGAATAAGTTGGGCAGTTAAAAAACTCTTAAACAAGAGAAATGTATCAAAACCGCTTTTGAAATCGTTTGGTGTCACGTCTACAGTAAACAAAACTGTTTTAAATTATTCGGGTTGGATTTTGATATTTTTAATGTAGTTTGAAACTAAACATGATCAACCAAAAATTGTAAAAAAAAAAAAGAAATAAGTAAAGTAAATACAAAATATTAAACAAATTTGCAATATTGTTCTAAATTGAACATGGATCAGAAGTTAAATTGCCATCTTAACCCCCAAAATAAAATACGAATATTAAAAGTGTAATTTAAATATAGGTAATATGTACAATTTTGAACCTCAGACAAATACAGAAAGTTAACTAATAAAGTAAGTCATTATTTTCTTGCAAAAGTTTAACTTTGGGGTGTTTGGTATATTTTTACACGCTTTCATTGGTCCTTAATTAAATAATATTGAGTATTTGGACAGATCTCTACTTGTATTAGTATATATTTCACCTTATTTAGGTTTAAAAAAAAAAAATACTCTTTGAGGAGTTAAAGCGAGCAAAAGAGTTTTTGAACTTAATTATGGAATAGAAGATGGAATTGAATGAACTCAATGAAAATAAGAGGACTTGATTGGAAAACTTGGAAGCTCAATTAGACCATTTCACAAGTTTTGTGGTCAAATTTAACACTTAAAAGTTTGGGGGACCAAAATAAGTGAATTCAAAAGTTAGAGGTCAATTTAGATGATTTGGAAAGTTGAAGGACCAAATTGAAGAAATCAGAAGTTGGAGGACCAATGTGCAAGAAGCCAAATATTATGGACCATTATGGACATGATTAAAGTTGGAGGATCTAAGTGGATGGCTTGAAAAGTTGAAGGGCTGCCCACTTTCCTCCTTCTAATTGGATACTTAGGGTGTGTTTGATTACATTTATTTTCCATGGAAAATATCAACTTTTCACCCAAATTCCTACTTGGAGTGTTTGATTGTTATTTTTTTTGCCATAGAAAACATTTTCCAACTTTTAAAAATATACCTAATTTTCCTTGTTTTTAATAAAAATATTTTCCTTGAGTGAAAGTGGTTTTTATTTTCCTTAAAACAAGGAAAATATTTTATTTTTTAGGTGATATTTTCCATGTCAATCAAACACACTCTTCTTACGATTTCGCAGTATTCCAATAACAATTTTCTTTATTATTATTATTATTATTTATTTTTTTCGAAAGACTTTATAAATATGATAACTCTGATAGTAAATATCTACAAGTCTGATATTAATTATCTACCACCACATACATCATATTAGATCATCTTGAAACAATTACAAAAGAAGAATTCATCCATATATTCTAGGCAAATTGAAAGAGAAGACGACAAAATTCAAGATCATTGAAGATATTTTAAATTGGAGGGATGAATTCATCTTTTTTTTTTTTTTTTTATCTCTCTAACCGTTTTATATCTATCATTATGACTTTATATTTTTGTTTTAATCATGTTTGGCTAAACACAATTACCTACTTTATATTAACTTGAAGTTGCTCATTTTTTTGTTAAATTCTTGTAATTTGTGTTGATTGCTTACTATTGTTTTATTCCATTTTAACGATTGATTACCATTACAATATATTAACGGTGGATCGGTAATTGAGAAGTGAATTAGGATCACAATGGTATATTCATGATCCTTGCTCATTACTTGATTAAATTTACTTTAAGATCTTCATATTCAACCAAATTCAAACTTTAAATGTTAATTATGTGTATTTTTTAAAAATAGTTTTAATTAAAGTAGGGTTGATAATCAATCTTGTTGGGACAACACTTGACTCATCATTGTATTACTTGTGTATGATCTGTCCTCTTGAATAAATATCGCAACACGTGAAGTTACCTGTCATTGTAAAGATATTATTTTTAATTTTGTTGTTTGTCTGCCCAGGACTCAAAGGACTCTGTCATGATAGTGGTGAACCATTTTTCAAAATGGCACATTTTTTTCCTTGCAGCAAAACATATTTTATCTCTAGGTTGCAAATGCAGTTACCCATGTTTGATTGAAATAAGGTAGTTGGAAGGTTTATTTTCTTTGGTATGTTATGTATTGTTAAAAATGAAAGAAAAATAGTAAAATAAGGGAACTCATTGATTTTATAGCATATATCAATGTGATAAGAATTAAAATAAGACAATATGCTCATATCAAATTTATTAAAATATAAAACATACTACTTGCAATTAAAGTAGTGGCGGATCTAGCACCCAGCAAGATGGCATGATCGATCGTGCTGGTTCCACGGGAATAAACATGCGTAAAGGGCACCACTAGACTAGACGCCAGTTGCTGTGAGGTAAAGACAGGGAAGAAGGCGAATTGAAAGAGAAGAATTGAAACAATTACAAAAGAAGAATTCATCCATATTTTGGGCAAATTGAAAGAGAAGACGACAAAATTCAAGATCATTGAAGATATTTTAAATTGGAGAGATGAATTCATCTTTTTCAAACATTGGTATGTTTTGCACAAAGAACTCCATACTTAGTGACATGTATTATTAAAATGAAAGAAAAGAAAAGTCTAAGCGTGGATTTGGCATGGGATTGTCCAAAGCAGCTACCTGACTGGCAACATTCGGATGACCAAAACAGATGAATAATATTTAAAAAATGGTGCTCGGTGAATAAAAGACGGTTTTGACAGAAGTCCGTGTACATGTTTGGAGGAAGATATCTAATTGATCCTACGCCACTGTTGATCTTGTGTGAAAAAGGTATATCTTGAGTGTTCTCAACTGTTTCTGCAGGCATATGTATAGTTCCTTTTTATTCTCTTTGATTTGTTACTTTCTGCACTTTTGGCTGTGGGAAAAGGTTGGCCTTGTTATCATTTTCTATGTTTATCAGGCAAATACGAATTTGAAACCTGGAAAAACAATCTGATTATAAGTTCTGGTTTTGAGTCCAGGATTGCAATTTATGTATATTTCGAATTTATATGCAATTTATGTGTATCACTTGGTCTGTCAATGAGCATTTTGTTGAACATATTACTGCTGTATTTTTTATGATTGCTCAGTATTCAACTTATATAATTAGGAATAATGATAACGAATAAATTGTGATATCAAATGAGACAAAATGTTTTGAATTCAAGTTTCGTCGCCTTCCATTTAAGTGAATTGTGGACATGTTATGCTTTGTTGGAAGTCACGAGGTGTATTGAATATAAAGTAACTAGTCAAAAATGACTACTAGAATGGATTAATAATTTTATATTGTTCACCTTAACTTGGACGACAACTTAAATAAAATTCTATTTGGCACTGAAACTCATCTAATTTGAACAATTAAGGCTCGTCTGTCAAAGTTATCTTCGGGGGGGAAGGGGGGGGAGGGAATAATAGTTGTAAGCCCGCCCTACTCATTAATCCTGATTTCGTCCCTGATTAGAACTACATTTATTAAAACTAATTAGGCCTAGCCTTTGATTCCAACAACTGCTTATGTGTGTTATCATAGGACATCGCTGCTCATAAACGCAAACGCGATGTGTTCTGCACAAAGGTAGTTATAAGATTTTCGTTTTTCTTTTTCCCCTTTTTTTTTATTATTAAAAATGAAAGAAAAATTATTACAATAGGGAACATTAAGAACATGTTTAATTTTGATAAAAATTATATTTTTAGGAGATTTTGATAAAAGTTGACGGCATACGAGGTGGGAAAGTTACGGGTCACATGAAATGTATGGTTATAATTAATTATTGAGTTTGATTTAGATTTTAATTCACTTTTTGAGTTGGACCAAAGAGGGGCTATATTAGTTGGAAGATACGGTACTTATATTGTATAGATGTTGTTGCTGATCTCAATTTGATAAAAACTTAAAGAAGACAACGAAAATTATTTCACAATATACTCATTCCAAGTTTATTATAATAGACAACATGATACTGGTAAATAAAGATGGCTACATTTCCACAATGTAGTCTCCAAGCGAAGACTACAATTTATTTAATTAAAGACAGTTTACTGCAGACTCTAAGCAGAGATCTACAATTTATTTAACTCAACCAGCTTCATACATAGATAAGTAATTTATTCACCTGCTGTTGCACCAAAGCATCAAGCGATTACTATCTCCTTGATGACAGGCTCTTTGTTTGGGCAAATTTCTCCGCAAACACACCGGTCGTTAAAAGCTGAGCAGCATCCTGGCAAATTCTGAAGCGAGCAGTTTTGGTTACAAAGATCCACGTCACAACGTCGAACTCGAGCAAGAGGAGCGCTCATAATACGATTCCGTGGGCAAATGGCTGTGCAACGACATGGGCCAGATGGTCCTGGGCAGCATGCTGGCAGACCCTGACTAGAGCAGTATTGTTCGCAAAGATCCCAGTTACAAGCTCTAGCATCCACCACAAGAGGACCACTCATATCTGCTTAATACAAGAAAAGAGTAAAAGATGAGTTAACTAAATGTAAAAAAATGTGAAGGCTTTGCTATGAAATTAAAATTATTCGGGTTATTTCATATTTGGTAAATGAACATTCATGCATGGCTAATTGAACTAGTTGAAAAGCTGTGCAGTTGAATAAATTTCAAACCAGTGGACAGGGAAACCAACAGCAGGAGGGACACCATAGCAAATGACCTCATGGAGAACTCCATCATTGAGAGAGAGAGAGAGAGAGAGAGAGAGATTAAAGGCAGCTTTAGTGAAATGTGAATGGGAAGAACCCCTGCTTGTATCTCTTTATATAATGTTCAAGAGTGTGTTGATGTCGTGCTATGCACGTATGATATGATTATTTTTATCAAAAGCAAGTAGTTTACAATTAGGAAAAAATATTTTTTTTTTCTCATTAATATGATTAAAAAATTTCGCGTAATATAATTTTTTTTACTTCTTTCTCATAAATAGTGCCCTTTAATTTAACATAATAGTAATAATTTAAAATATTATATATAAATATAAATATATATACACCTATAATAAAAAATTTCCGATACCCCTACAATGCTAAGGCCTGGGTGATCGCTTAACTCGCACACTTCTAGGGCCACCTCCGATTATGAGCATGTTCGAGGTACCTTATAAGCTAGAGAGAGAATATTATGTGATAAGGTACTTCTCTTGGCAACTAAAACGTGCTCCATATCATTGATTATTTCCTTTTTGATGTTATAATTGGTATAATACAATAACATCTTCAATTTAATATCCAACCACGTTTCTCGTGCAGCAAATTTGAACGTCCATAATCAAAGGGTAACAAGCACGGACTAAGAAATGATTTTTATTTCGTCTTCAAAATAGGAAACTCTATCTTCTTCAGTTAAAAAAAAAAAAAAGAAAAAAAAGAAAAAAAAAAAAAAAAGGGAAAAAAAAAAAAAAGAAAAAAAAGAAAAAAAAAAAAAAAAATTAAAAAAAAAAAGAAAAAAAAGAAAAAAAAAAAAAAGGAAAAGAAAAAAAAAAAAAAAAAAAAAAAAAGGATTCCAGAATAGGGAGCATTTGAATTAGAGATATTTGTATTAAGGTGAATTATGATGTACTATTTTGGTATGGTGTTTGGTTTTATACTGTTGACGTCAAAAATAGAAAAGACTATGATTTAGTCGACTTTAAGAAAGAGAATGCCTTTTCCTTTATTACAAGAAATTAAATTGGACAAGTTTGCTTTTCCATTGACCAGCCAACCATTTCTCTCCCCCTCAAAGGAAACTATTTTCCACTTTATATAGGAGGTTTCAGCTGGAATTCCATCATATCGATTAAATCAGTTGCAGTTTCGAGCTCGGATAACGCATCGCTGCTCTCTTCTCTAATTGGTTGATGAGGACGGTGGCATTCCCATCAGTGTTTCCTTCAGGTAATGATGTTTTGAAGATGATAGGGGAGCCAAAGCAATTGATTAGTGGGTTTGGACGAGCTGGCAAGTGTAGGTGATTGATGGAATGATGTGATGGGATGTAAGGAACAATCATTATGTTTCTTGATATTACAGCGGCAATGAGCTCGAGCTGATCTTCACAAGCTGAGCTGGCATGTGATCGAAGTAGCTCCTACGAACACTAAGTATGAGACCGTAGGTTGGCAGTCAACATATACCATGTTAGAAAAATATACAAGTATTAAAAAGTACTAAAGAAAAATTGACAATACTTTAAGTATAAATATTTTTTTGATCACTTCTTTAATCACAATTAATTTATTGACAATATTTTTATGCTTAAATAATTTTAATCATAAATATATTTTTCATGTATAATCAATTGTGACTTATACGTCATTCATTTCTTATAAGCAATTTGTACATATAAGTGAATTTTTACTTTTAGCCAAATGTTTTATTTATAAGTAAATTATTTTACTCACAGTAGATGTTCACTTGTAAGTGTGCTTATGCATAAATTTTTATTTATTAGTAAAGTTTTACTTAATAAATAAATTATTCAGCATAGAAGTGAATGTTTTATATATAGGTTAATTTTTTAATTTTAAGTGATTTTTAATTTATGAGTGAACTTTTACTTATATAGAAGGTCTTTTTATATCATTGCATAATTGAGACAAGCATAAAATTTTCCAAACACATGTTATAAATTTTAGATTAAATATTACCAATTTCCAATAATTGCAAAAATGGTCCCCAAAGTCTTTTTCCAAAACCAAATACAAAAATCACATGTGAATTAAATTTTAATTAGCAAAGTTTCAGTTTTGTGGTCCTTCATCATTAAAGATGAGAAGATACAATTCTTTTAAAATGTCCTTTTCTTATAATTGGATAATTGAGACAAATGTAAAAATTTTCCAGCCACAATTTTATATTGAGGATTATCCCATGCTATCCAAATTCGATTCGTTATTTCATAGACTTATTTGCACTAATTGCACAAATGGTCCCCCGATTCGTTTATGCAAATCTAAATATGACAATAATGAGTGAACCAAAATTGTCATATTAACGATTAGGATATGAGGTACCACAAATGCTTTTAAAATGACACAATCACATCTTTACATCAATTAGTGACACATGTTATGTAGATTTTGGATTAGATATTTCCTAGACAAATTTGCACTAACTGTAAAAATGGTCCCAACGTATTGAGAATATGTGAATAAAGGATTATTGTTTTAATTATGAGACCTATCCTTTCCGTCACTTGCAGTCCAATTTCGCCAAAAAAATTGAGATCAGTTTAATTGATCAAATATCTCGAAGAGTTGGAAACTTAAAAATGAGCGGAGTAGAGAACATGAATTCGTGTCGGAAACTATCATCTTGAAAAATGGGTGGAGTGATTACTTAAGTATTTTCTGTTAAAGGGTAAATATTTGAGCTCAGTGTTTAGCGACGGCCAAATTTCAACATCTGTGATTATTTCATAGGAATGTTGAAGAAAATGGTACTTGAGTTCTTGAGAATAATGAGAAGGGAAAAATGGTCATTTGTGCTCGTACATAATTGTCGAATCTTGGACGTGGATAAAATACTTATGCAGCAGGTTAGAAGAAAGTATTATAGATTTATTGGCTTCTATAATCTTATATATTCCAAGAGTATGGTCTTTACATTTAGTGGAAAAAAACAGAGACTAATAATTAGATTGGATGGTTTATGGTCGATTAGATAGGATCTAATTATTGGAACTTGGATAATATGTGTCCGATCAGGTCCCTACGGTAGCTTTATAAAATATTGGAACTTAATTACAGTAATTATAATAGTTTTAGGCTTAATTTAATTACAATAAGTTTTGTACTTGGTTATAATTGCTACAAAAGTTGTAGACTTAATTATAATTGTAACTGAAGTTCTATGACGACATATATAATTAAATGTAAACTAATTGGATTTGAACTTTAATTAAAGCTCCTACTTGAATTTTAATTAGAACTCCTATTTAAATGTGGAATTGTTACTATATAATGATTGTAACTATTCTATCTCTATAAATAGAAATTAGATGGAACATAGACATCTCAATGGAATTGTATAACACTCATAATACATAATTCTATAGTGTTCAGATTTGGGGAAAAAAAGAGGAAGAGAAAATTATTTTCTTGATCTTATTCAATTGTCTAGTTCAACGTTTAAATTCTTGGTTTAATTAAATGAAGGTGCTCATTCACCGATGTAGTCTTGACACTGGAGAATACCCTAGAAGATTTGTAGGTTTGAAGCATCAAGTTCTTGGAATTAAAAAAGTTGAAATTTCGTGATTTAGAATTTATTCAAGAGTTGACCATCAAATTTAGATAAAAATTCAAATCCTTTATTATTGATATAACATATACGTGAACATCTAAATGATATCGTTTATTAAATTAAAGAATTTTTTAAATTTCTATATAATTTTGCTTCCGCATTCCAACAACAATATTTAGCTATTATTATTACTTGATGTGCTTCTTTAATTTTCATCTTTTTAATAATAAGAGCAGAGTTTTATTCACATTAAACTAGACCTTTATAGAAAATACGGAAATGAATAAACCTGAGTAATAATGAAGCTCATCAGAAACTGTAATCATGATGTGTGGGGCAACTGAAGCTAAGAAATTTGGAAAATGTAAAGTTGAGAAGGGTTAAATGGGCAATGTCGATTTCAAAACTTACCTAAAGAATACTAGAAATTTGTGCAGATAAAAACAAGAACCCGATGAGTGTAAGAAAATCTTGGGTTTTTCTTCAGTAGTATAAAATTGCCTGAAGTTTTAGAAGAATGCAACAGCTAGAGAACGAAAAAGGAAAAATAAAATTGCTTGTTTTTTTATTTGAAAATGTTAATTTTGGGATCTTGGAGTGGCATTAAACAAGATGAGTGATGATTTGCAGATGAGCATAAAATCACTTCCCCAAAAGTCAAACGTGAAAATCAGAATTCAATAATGAATAATAAATAGCAAATGAGCATAAAATACTAGAAACTATACGAATGAATCAATAATTCAAGACCGGTACCAAATGAATGTAAAATCACTTTTTCAAAATCCAGACGGAAAAAAAAAAGGAATTAAAAAATTAATAATAAATAGCAAAGAATAATGCTATTAGTCCCTGGGTGTGCAAGCAATTGAATCATTTCATCCCTCAATTGATCCAATTTGTGCCTGTTATCCTTTGCATATGGATGTTCAAATTTTATTGCATGCTGATACGGTTAGAAGTGTGATTCAAATAGGAGTCTAAATTGTATTAGATTTCTTACCTTTTTTTGGGACTCTTTTAAGGCTAGATTTTATACTATAAATACAAGGCTCCTCTTTCAGTATTGTTTAAGCCATTATTGTTGTAATACTCTCCTTTCATAGATTGAATAAAATAACATCATTCCTCTGCCAGTTCTTTTATTTCTTTAATTTAATTTTGTTCTTGGGTTATTTCTCATCTTGTTCAATACTTTAATTATAACAAGTGAAATTCATTAAATCTCAATTCCTACATTACTGGTCAATCGGTCTTAACAAGTGGTATCAGAGCGGGATTATTGGTGGATTTTTGGCCTGAAACTGATTGGAAAATCGTCTGAAAATTACCAGAAAATCAGAAAATGAATCTGTCCAATTTTTCGATTTTCTGCCGGATCTGTTTTTGCGTTTTCTGGTCAAACCAAAAAGAGTTTGGAGAAACGAACACCACCAGTGGACTTAGCAGACAGAGACGGTCCAAAAAGGGTCACAGGTTGCCGGAGAGTTTCCGCCCGGTAGTCGG